CCATGTTGCGAACACAGCAATAATTTGCCTCTTTTCATTGCTACATAGTATTCCACTGAATGGATATATCCCAGTTCACCTATCCATTCTCCTACTATTGATCTTTGCAGTTCACCAATAAAGCTACCTTGAATATTATTTACAAGTCTTTTTTAAAAAAGATTTTATTTATGCAAGAAAGAGAGAGAGAGCATGTACACATGCACTAGCAGGGGAATTGGGAGAAGCAGGCTCCCCACTGAGCTGGGAACCCAATCCAGGGTTCAATCCCAGGATCTCAGGATCATGACCTGAACCATGCCCCTTTGTACATGTCTTTGATATAAATGTGAACACATTTTTCTAGGAGAGGGAAGAATTGCTGGGCCAACATTCTTAAATAACATTGAACTATTTTCCAAAGTGGTTTTATCAGTTCATAATCCACCCAGGAGCGAGAGATTACTGGTGGCTCTATATCCTTGTCAACACTTGGAATTGTCAGAATTTTATATTTTTGCCAATGTAAGTATAAAGTATCTCATTAAAATTTGTATTTAACACCTTTTCATACATTATAAACCATTTGGCTTTTCTCTTTTTGAAATGTTTATTCAAATCGTTTGCCTTTTTAAAAGTTTTTAATGTGATTTGTGTAAGTTATATGCATGCATGCACTGTGATAACAGCCTTTGTCCATCATATGCCATTCAATTCTCATCCAACTGTGTGACTCATGTTTTTAACTCTCTTAATTTGTCTTTGTAATAAACAGAAATTCTTATTTTTAAAGTAGTCAGACTTATTAATTGCTTCTTTTATATTAAATGCTTTCTTTGAAAACTCATGGAAAAATGTCTTACATTTTCTTCTAGAAGTTTAGCTAATTTTACTCTTCACCTGGTATTTCATAACTCTTAAATATCCATGGAACTGAGTTTTTTGGGATAGGGTAAGGTGAGGAATTTTTTTCTTCTTTCTCTCGTTTCCTTTTTTAAGACTTTTATTTTTAAGTAATCTTGACATCCAACATGGGGATCAGATTCAGAATCCTGAGATCGAGTCATATGCTCTATGGACTGAGCCAGCCAGGCAGCCCCACCTGTCTCTTTACTTTTTGCATTTGGATATTCAAATATACTACCACCTATTAAGTATTGTCTCTACCACCTATTAAGTATTGTATCCTCTTCCCATTGACACCTTGCCACTTCTATCAAATGTCAGTATATGCAAAGCTCTGTTCCTTGACCCTCTATTCTCTTTCATTGGCCTGTCATCTCTCCCTGCACCAATACTGGGCTGTTTTAATTATTACAGCTTTATAAGTTCAGCTATATAGCAGAACATGGCCTCTTGCTTTGTTCTCCTTCAAGAGTGTTTTGATCAATAATAAATAACAACAAAAAAGAGTGTTTTGATCATTTACAACACCGTGCAAATTTTATAATCAGCTTGTGCACACACACACACACTTCCTTTGGAATGCTGATTAGGATTGGGATTGATTTAAAAAATCAATCAGAAGTAAACAGCCATCTTTACTAATAGTGAGTTCCCCTCAGTGAACATGAGATATTGCTTTATTCAGTTAGAGTTCTAAAAAAATTCTCTTAATAATATTTAAAAGCTTTCTGTATAGAGGTTTTTTAAAATATGTTTTGCTGGACATATTTCCACTTGCTTGATTTTTTTGATGCTAATTTAAGTGATATCTTTCTTTTAATTTCATTTTCCATATGTCACTAGTCAATAGAAATACTGATATTTAGTGACTGTCTTGCTAAATATGCTTGGTAGATCTAAGTAGAGAGCTGAATAAAATGATTAATTGCTCTTATCCTAATGGCCACATATATAGAACACTGCCCCTAATGGATTTCAAATATATCTTTTCTTCTGATGCACAGGAGTATTTACAAAAATTGACCATAATGTGGACCATAAAGCAAATCTGAAAACACTTCTAAAGATGACAATAATAGAGAATTCATGTTCTCAAACCTCAGTGCAATTAACCTAGAAGTCAATAACAAACACAATTAGTTCTCAAACACCTATCGGAGCTGCTTGAGATTTTTCTCCTGGCTTTTGTAAATCTGGCTATGGGTCTTTGAAAAATTTATACTGCATCTCCTTTATTGTGCCCCTTGAAGTAGTGGTTGAAGTGTGCTCACATGCAGGAGTAGATGGGAAGGGCTCTTACCTGGATTCGGAGTTGTGTGTCGCTGGACTTGGGAGAGAGGAAGGGCAGGAGGCTCTCTAGCTCATCTGGGTCCCTGGGGCACAAACTGTGGACACAGTTAGGGGGTGGACAGGCTGGATGATATGCCAGCCAGCTTCAAGCTGATTGACCCTGCAGCAGGGGAAAAAGGAGGGACAGAAAAAAGATAATCACTAGCATTCAACATTTTTTGTTGCTACTTTTTAATAATTTTTATTGAAGTATAAAGTATATATATAAAGTATAAAGTATACATATAAAGTATAATAATTTTTATTGAAGTATAACATACATGCAGAAAAGCACAGAAATTTTGTGTACAACTCAGTACATTCTCACAATGTGAATACACCTGTGTAACGACTACCCATGTCAAGAAATGTCACAATATCAGTACCCCAGAGCCGTCCCCACCCCCATGCTGCTCCTACTCATGCCCCCTGTGTTTAAAAATGAACCTGGGATATGTTTTGGTCAGTTAGGGTAGGACCGCTGACATGGACATGATAGTCATGGAGGAGGTTTATACTCATAGATCCCTGGAAATAAAAGGCAAACCACACCATGCCAGACCATGCAGGACCTGGGAAGCACCCCAGGCAGAAGGCAAGAGGGCAAAGCGTGGCCCTGAACCTTTACTGGGGTTCTTATAGGAAGGAATGGCAAGATAAGGTAGGTACACTAAGAAAACTTAGGATTGGGAGCTTTAAATAATTTTGCTGGGCTCTGGGCTATTCAGGTGATCTCTATTTGGTGCCTGACCCTGGGGTGATTTAGGGCAGTGAGAGTACTGGCTTGATGTGTGAGAGTTTGATGAAAAAGGTAGTTGAGAGTACGGTCACCGAACTGGTGGGGTTTGTATACCCAAGTTTCACTATCACGGGAACCACTCACTATCTCCAGGAATTAGCTAGCCCTGGTAGGGGCAGACACTCCAGGATCAGGTCTCCAAATGCCAGAGCAAACAAGAAAATAAAATCAGTACAGTACTCCTTCCTCCCCAGAGAGAATGTCTTTTCTGACATCAAACACCCTGAATTAGTTCCGTTTTTGAACTTTTCATAACTAGAACCAGAATCTTTAGTGTCTAAAGTCTTTTGTTCAACAGTGTATTGGTAACATTCAGACCTGTTGTTGTGTATTGCTGTAGTGTGTTCATTTCCACTGTTGTATATCATTCTGTTGTAGTAATTTATCTGTTCTTCTGTGGATGGGCATTTAGCTGGTTTCCAGGTCAGATCTCATATAAATAACATTGCTAGAACCATTCTTGTATGTATTTCCAGGTGCACACCCTCACAAACATTTTTCTTGGGTATAATCCTGGGGTGAAATTGTTGGATCACAGTTAGGGTAAGCATGAATTTGAGATCAGTAGATAGGCCAAGCATTGTCCAAACTGGCTGTGCTATCAGCAGGGTGTGAGGGTATCTCTGTGTGACCTTTGGTAGAGGGCCATGCACAGTTTAAAGCCACAAGTAGGACACTCCAATGTTATTCAACAGAATATTTTGTCTTGACCTTAGACAGTAAATGTATTGATTTAGGAAATGGTTTCATTTTATATTTGACCCAGATTACTACTAACTCCAGATAAGCACAAATGTAAAATGTCAGGAGAAAAAAATAAAAATTCAGAACACTTTTCTTTTTTGGTTTACGTGTTTCAGATTTTAATTTAACTTTTCAGCACAGCTTTGCACTCTTGACTTTCTCACAGAAGCTACTGAATTTTTCTCTAGTTTTGTGAGAATTGGGTGGAGAGCTTACCAGATTTGATCAAACTGCTTCAACTTAATTGCGATTGGTTTTCCATAAATGTTGATTTCTTTATCCTAGTAAATTGTAAAGCATTCTACAATCCCAGTTATTAAATCCTTACTTTTTAAAAATAACTATGGACAGTATTTTTATTAGTCATTACTGTGATCTTTCTTCCTTTCATTATAAACAAGTTCTCACAGTTGAAAGAGATCTACTAATCTATTCAAACTATATTATCCGTACTAATAAAGCAATAGGATTTTCCTTTGTCCCCTTTACATGGTGATATTTGAAAAAAAAAAAAAAGAAGCAGGGGAGAAGTTTCATGGATACAGAATTATTTCATACCTTTGGGCGCTATAAATTTTGGTGAAATTACATAGCTGGATTTTAAAAGGAGAAACGAACAGACAAAAACCCCACAGAAATAATTATTGCCTTTACTACTCAACCACAGTCCTTCTGTTTTAACAGTACAGGAAGAAAAATTGGTGAGTCCACATTTTACTCTAGTGGGTAAGCAATTCTTCATTGCTCACAGCTGTCAGCTATCATGGTGTGTGGCGTGTGAGTTGACTCAGCTGATGCGGTCATCACCTGTGAAGGAAGTATTGGAGCGGAGCCCACTTTGGTACCTGACAGTGACAGCAAGGATGTTGTTTGGACCAGACTTTGTTTTCTCTTATTCTGGAAACCCCTTTTGCGTCCTACACGAGAGGGCCCTACTTTGCTTCCCCCACCAAAAAAATAAATAAAACAAATAACCTTCAAGTTTGGAGTATATCATACACAGATGGCATGGCCCTCAACGGTGCTAGTCTCTCCTCTAAGAGGTGACACTGTAATCATGGCAGTCATTCACATCTTAGTAAGAAATAGCCTATCAGATCCTTGCCAGGGATCTGACTTTGCCTAGAACTCAGAAAGAGGCTGAAAGGAGGACGCTGCGCGGAGCCCACATTCAGCTCCCTTCTATAAGGCCAAGCCTCCAAGCCCCGAGTCCCAGGAAGTCCTCTGGGGGAAGGGCCAAGGCCCTGCCCTACTGCCTCCCCCCGCCTGCCTGGGCGACACTCCCCTTCCGCAGCTATAAGGGCCTCGGACCGTACGCTTCTTTACCCGGAGCCTGTCCGAACGCGGAGCCGGTAAGGCGGGGCCGGGGAGTAGTGGAGAGGTGGGCCGGGCGGAACAGGCCAGCCAGAACTCCATAGGCGCCGAGCCCCGGGTGCCTAGTGATCCCCGCAGCCCCTTGCCCTGCGCCCCGGACGCCGCAGCCCACGCCGTGCGCCCCGCCCCCGGGAGCCCGGATCTCCCAGCACCGCGCCGGGGGCGCTAGGCCCGCGAGGGCCGAGGTCGGTGCGTGGCGGCTGGAGTCCGTAGGACCCGGGATCAGAATGTTTTTCTTCCTGTTCTTCCTTTTCGCCTGAGCTGTTTGTGGCAGTTTCCTGGCAGCGCGGCCCCGAGGAGCCTGCTTCTCCTTTCTGCCACAGGAGGAAGAGAAAGAAGGCCAGATCCGGGAGATGATTTATCAGTTAACAGTAATGTAGCTAATTGCTTACCCGCTAGGCAGCCGGCACAGCTGGTGGTCTTCCTGGCCTCTCTGTGGGGACATTAAGACTCTGAGAGAAGTCAGTGGCTGAGCTGAGACCTAAGGCCAGGTGCCCCTAACTGTTGCAAGAATGACAGGATAGCTGTCACCTTCTCCCTGTCCGGCTGCCCTGCCACACCCTGGGACCTGTGTTGTGTTTATAAACTCTCACATCCAACACTAAGCTATGAGACTTGCGATTCTTAACCTGTGGAAGCGTTAGACTAAATCTCAATAATGAGGACAATTGTATTTACTTCAGTGGAATTTGCTTTAGTGCAAGGTAGGTAGTAATGATTTCTAGTAGACACATTATTGTAGGTAAATATGGACAGTGGATTCATTGCCCAGATGAATCAGAGATTGAACCAAAGGTGCACAGCAATGTGTGTGCTCCTAAACTTAGTAGGCGAGGCTCCGTGTGGGCCCCTCCTCAGTCTGTCTGTGAGGTCAGAACCCTTTAGGGTGCCCTAGTCCTGGGTCCCTGCTAAATCCCTTGGTGAAATTACATAGCTGGACCCTGCGGGGGTCATCCCCAGTCCCACATGCGTGCATGGGGTAAGTATCTTGCCCTCCTAAAAATAAAGTGAGAAAGAGAAAGTACAAGTTGCAGGGCCTTTCAGGGCATTCCAGGGTGGTTGACAGCCGCCGAGGAGGAGCGGGGGAGATGCGGATTGCCTCATTTGCTGCAGTGGCCGGTGGGCAGCTCGGGCCCTCTCTTCTGTGTTGTAGCCTTCACCATGGAGCAGTTGAGCACAGCCAACACCCATTTCGCCGTGGACCTGTTCCGCGTTTTGAATAAGGACAATCCTACTGGGAACATCTTCATCTCTCCCTTCAGCATTTCATCAGCATTGGCCATGATCTTTCTGGGGACTCGAGGCAATACTGCAGCACAGGTGTCCAAGGTCAGCAGAACCGAACAAAAACAGCCCGCTCTCCCTTGAGTCTCCTTGCTCATGTCAAGTCCGTACTGAGAGGTTGTGCCTTTGAGCTCTTACAGTGTGTGTGTATGTGTTTGAGATTTTATTTATGTATTTGAGACAGTGTGAAGGGTGGGGGGAGGGCAGAGGGAGAAGCAGACTTCTGCTGAGCAGGGAACCTGAGGAGGGGCTTTATCCCAGAGCTGCGGGATCATGACCTGAGCCGAAGGCAGACGCTTAACCGACTGAGCCACTCAGGCACCCCTCTTTTTTTTTTTTTTTTTAAATTGAAGATTTTTGTTTCTTTATTTGACAGAGATCACAAATAGGCAGAGAGGCAGATGGGGGGTGGAGGTGGGGTGAGATGGCGGGGAGGGGAGGGAAGCAGGCTCTCTGCTAAGCAGAGAGCCCGATGTAGGGCTCAATCCCAGGACCCTGGGATCATGACCTGAGCTGAAGTCAGAGGCTTAACCCACTGAGCCACCCAGGTGCCCCATCAGGCATCCCTCTTAACGGTGTGTTTTTAAAACTGTATTTCTGTGTTCAACCATATACTGTGAGGTCAGAATTTCAGAAGAAGCCCCAAGAACAATCCATTTGTATGCAGGCTTTCCTTCATGATCAAGTCTTTACAGGGCACCTGCTCTGTGCCAGGCACTGTTTTATATGTGGCTGAGGGCAGGGCACTGAGGAAGGCTGATGAAAGCCCTGTGGTGTGCCTCTTGCATGACAGCTTTCCTGTAAGCCAGAACATCTCTTCCCGGACGAGGATTTTCCATTCTCTGCTTTGCATGTGATGAGCCTGTTTATGTAATGTTACTTTTGAGCATAATGACACATAGGAAATGCTCCACAGTGGAGAAGTTGGCAGTGGTGTCCTTTTGAGGGGACAAAGCAAGTGTGTGATTCCGTGTTGCCTCCGCCTAGCCCTGGGCCTGGCACCAAGTGTGGCTCTGTGGGCTGTGACACAGTGTGCCTTTGTGAGTAGGAGGGCCCCGAAGGGAGGGATTGGCTGGGGATGGGGGTGGGGGACCAAGCCCTTGAGGGTGTGGCAGGTCCCTCTCTCACTCCCAGGAGGAGAAGCAGATGCCCAGCCTTCCTCCTGTCCTTTGTGGGGGTGGAGGCCACTTCCGTGCTGGGTATTCTTTCATTCCAAGAGGGGAACCCTGGCTTCCCTTGGAATCTAGGGAAAAGGAGTGCCAAGAGGGAAGGGCTTTCTGACGTACCACTCATAAAGTACAGGGCAGCCGACACTAGGAAAGGTCTAGCCCTGGATTCAAGTTTATGGTCTGTTACAGCTGCAAAGCCTCTATGACTGTACTTTATGGAGAACAAATCCTCTACATCAGTGCAGATATGAAAGCATTTAAAAATTTTCAAAGCTCCTCTTTTTTTCTTACCCTCTGGTAGTAATTTTTAGTGACTTCCTGCAGGTTAATACCAGCTTCTGTTTTTAAAAAATTTTACTTCTGGGGCGCCTGGGTGGCTAGTGGGTTAAGCTGCTGCCTTCGGCTCAGGTCATGATCTCAGGGTCCTGGGATCCAGTCCCGCATTGGGCTCTCTGCTCAGCAGGGAGCCTGCTTCCCTCTCTCTCTCTCTCTCTCTCTCTGCCTGCCTCTCTGTCTACTTGTGATCTCTCTCTGTCAAATAAATAAATACAATCTTAAAAAATTTTTTTTTACTTATTTGAGAGAGAGTAAGTGAGAGATGCAGAGCAGGAGCAGGAGGAGAAGCAGGAGGAGAGGGGAAGCAGACTGCCCACTGAGCAGGGAGCCTGGCCTGGGGCTTGATCCCCAGACTCCAGGATCAGAACCCAAGGCCAAGGGCAGACATTTAATGGACTGAGCCACTCTGGGGCTCCCTGTCAGCTCCTATTTTGAGGCTTTCTTTATGCCTTCAGCGAAGAATAGTTTCAAGGTCCTCCCCACCCCTATTTCCCCTGAAGCAGACTGATCGCAGCAACTGTGGAAACATTCCGTATCTTGGTGAGTAAGTGGACTTTGTACACTGTAGAGGTTTGTTCCTTGTGTCTTAAAAGCAAAGAACCAGCCCAGGCCTCATAAAACCATAAAGGGACTCTTGATTTGTAACTGATACATGAGGAACTAAACTTTTGCTGAATATTAAGTTTAAAGAAGTTATTTTTAAGTAAGTGAGTTACTGATGCTAATAGTATAATAAAAAAAAAATATTCCCCCTCTGCCTATAGTAACTTTGAGTTCCTGCCTGGGTCATGTTTCTTATTTTTTCTGTTTATTTCTGAGAACGTTCAGTGAAATTATATTAGATACAAGATAAGCACATGATTTATTTATGATTTTATTTGGGACAAAAAGCAGACTTGTATAAATACTTAGTTTATTAACCACTCATACTGTAGAACTAGAATTATAACAAAAAGTAGTATAAAAGTAGTTTATTTTTTAAATTTTTATTCTTTTAAAGATTTTATTTATTTGACAGACAGAGATCACAAGTAGGCAGAGAGGCAGGCAGAGAGCGAGGAAGGGAAGCAGGCTCCCTGCTGAACAGAGAACCCGATGCGGGGCTCGATCCCAGGACCTTGGGATCATGACCTGAACCGAAGGCAGAGGTTTTAACCCACTGAGCCACCCAGGCGCCCCATAAAAGTAGTTTCTGATGTAATTATTGTATCTCACAAAGCTGTACATTTTGGATTCTCTATTATTTGTTCACCTATGAGAAATTAATAAAATATTGGGCTGCAGATCATGAAAAATCAGTAAAAAAAAAAACACATTAATTTAGTTTGGTGGAAGCAAATGCCAAGGAATCACCTTATAATTTCAAAATAAGAATGTTATAGAAGGAATGTTTTCTTTATTTTAGACTCTTCATTTTGATATGGTTGAAGAGATTCATTCAAGATTTCAGAGTCTGAATGCTGATATCAACAAATGTGGAGCTTCCTATATCCTGAAACTTGCTAATAGGTTATATGGAGAGAAGACATACAATTTCCTCCCTGTAAGTACTTTGCACTTCTTGTTCAAAAACTCACTTAGACAACGCAGATTTTTTCCTAGCATAACCAAGCCATAGAAATGTTTTAATTTTTATAAAAACTCAGAAAAATGATACAGAATGAAAACATATGACAGACAGCACTCCCATTAATTGACATGGCTTCATTTTATGGTCTTCACAGTGAAAAAGATCGATCCTGGCTGTTTTGCTAAAGCAAGAGTGAATTCCATAATTCTTTTCCAAGGACAATCAATATTTGCTTATTTATGAAAATGTCAGCCAGATGTTGGAAAAGAATTGGTAAATTTTACGCAACACCAAAACTACTGAACTATACATTAAAAAATGGTTAAGGTGGAAAATTTAGTGTTCTGTGGGTTTTTTTTTTTAACCATAATAAAAAGAGTATAAAGTTAGAATTTTTTTGTTGTTGTTATAATGCAATTTGTACCTTTAGGACCATTTCTGCTTTAAAGGATTTTAGGAAACTATCTCTGTATGTAGTAGGAGTTATTCATGACATTACCTTTTTTTTTAAACAGGAGTTCCTAGCTTCAACTCAGAAAATGTATGGTGCTGAATTGGCCACTGTGGATTTTCAGCAAGCCTCTGAAGACTCGAGGAAGGTGATTAATGAGTGGGTCAAAGGGCAGACAGAAGGTAAGAGAGAGGGCAGAATGTAATCATTACACACGTTCTCCTCCTCCTTCCAGCTTCCCCACCTGCATGTGATTGCCTCTGCCTTTTTCCTGTTCCCTCATCCTGACCCTGGGAATCCTGGGGTTCATCCTGGGCATGAACTCTGCACCACCTGGTTGGACAGTGTTCACACGTAGAAAATTCTTCACAGAGGAAATGTCAGCATGATTTAACTGAAGTAGCTAAATAGGTTTTCCCTCATAAGTTCCCAAAAGTCCGTTTTAAAATGAAAACTCAGCTTGAATGTAGAATAAAAGGAAAAAAAATTTTGAGGGAAATCTAGCCTGGCCCAGATTATTTCATATACACATGGAAAGAAATACGCTAATACTTGTGAAGGAATATTCATGAACCACTGTGGTCATAAATAATTTTTGTCCACTTTTCGTCTAAGAAATCAGGGATGGGGGTTCGCCTGCGTGGCTCAGTGGGTTAAAGCCTCTGCCTTCTGCTCAGGTCATGATCCCAGGGTGCTGGGATCGAGCCCCGCATTGGGCTCTCTGCTCTGCGGGGAACCTGCTTCGTCCTCTCTCTCTGCCTGCCTCTCTGCCTACTTGTGATCTCTGTCTGTCAAATAAATAAATTAAAAAAAAAAATCTTAAAAAAAAAGAGAAATCAGGGATGGTAGCTGGGACTGTCGAGCACAGCTGTCTCTGACCTAGTCATGGGAGGAGTCAGGGCACCTGCAGAACACCTGTCTTCCATACAATGAGTTGTTCAAGGTAGCGCTGTCTGTGGTCTAGGGTGTATCCAGTGTTTCAGTGGAGTAATTGCCCTTTTTGGATATGTACTAAAAGCTTTTTTCTTTTTCTTTTTCTTTCTTTCTTTCTTTTTTTTTTTTGGTGAGATTTGGCTCCTACTTAGAGGGTTTGAAAAAGTGATTTACTAATGTCCAAAAATACTTTCGTTCAGGACATTTTTTTTTTCCTGGAAAAGAATGGTCATTCTCAAAGCTCATTGTTTACCATGTACTCCAGAAAAGGAGCAATGTGCTGTTTTAGCTCATTAGCCCTTTACTTGGATTATTTAAATGAGAAACATGCTGATAGGGCTTTCCTGACTTCATATCACACAAAAGAAAAATTAAGTACAGAATTTGCTTTTGGATTGCATTTCAGTGCTAATCAAATGTTAGTTCCGATTTGGAATTCTGATAGATGGATTTATTTTTAAAAAGCTAACTTTATCTTTTTAGGGAAGATTCCAGAACTGTTGGAAGCAGGTACGGTTGACAGCATGACTAAACTTGTGCTGGTGAACGCCATCTATTTCAAAGGCAGCTGGGAGGATGAGTTCCGGAAGGAAGACACTGCGGATGCCCCATTCCGACTGAATAAGGTAAGAGAGAGGTAACTGCCTAAACTTACTCTTGTCTCGAAGAGAATGGGGATAAAAATGTGAGTGAGTCGTTCGTTTGTTTTCAACTCTTCAGAAAGACAAAAAAACCGTGAAAATGATGTATCAGAAGAAGAAACTCCCATTTGGCTACATCCAGGACCTTAAGTGCCGTGTGCTGGAACTGCCTTACCGGGGCAAAGAGCTCAGCATGATTATCCTGTTGCCTGATGACATTGAGGATGGGTCAACGGGTCTCAAGAAGGTAACAGCTCCCAGCTTCACGCTTCGTGTCTCTTCTGGTTGTATCCACCTGCCTTGTGTGGTAGTGGCCGGTGCTTGGTGTGTGCTTATGGATGGTTCTTTCCTTTCCAGTGCTTTGTCATTCTTTTGTCAAGTGGCTCATGGAATTTACTACTCCAAAGCCCAAAGTTTACATTTTCAGCTACTGTCAGGGAACAGCTCTGTTATATTATCTCCAGTCCCTGGAAAGAAATGACATCTTCCAAATGGAATCTGTCTGGGGACAAGACATGGAGGAGACTAATTAGCAACTGATATAATGGGTCTGTTCATTTCAGTAATGTTTTACTAGCTTGCTTATGTAAAATTGTTCTCACTTCTTCTTTTTGCCCATTCTCATTCCAGATTGAGGAACAGTTAACTCTGGAAAAACTGCATGAGTGGACCAAAGCTGAGAATCTGGATTGGGTTGAAGTCAACGTCCACTTGCCCAAGTTCAAACTGGAGGAGAGCTATGACCTCAACTCCCACCTAGCCCACCTGGGTATAGAGGATCTCTTTAGTCGCAAGGCTGATCTGTCTGGCATGTCAGGAACCAGGGATCTTTTCATATCAAAAGTTGTCCACAAGTCCTTTGTGGAAGTGAATGAAGAGGGCACAGAGGCGGCAGCCGCTACAGCAGGCATTGCCACCTTTGCCATGTTGGTGCACGAGGAGAACTTTGTTGCTGACCATCCATTCATTTTCTTCATTCGGCACAATTCCTCATCTCACATCCTGTTCTTGGGCAGACTTTCTTCCCCTTAGAGACTGGAAATACAAGGTCAAGCTTAGAGCTTTGTTAGCTGCACATTTAATGGTGTCAAGTTTCACACATCTTTGCCAATACCACTATCATCCCTAAGCAGATCTTTAATTTCACTTGTAAGTTCAGCTCTTTCCTGTTTACATACACCCATGAACTTTGGCACAGATATCTATTTTCCTATTTTTTTTATATTGACAAAGTCCAGTGATTGCTTTTGAATGCAAGTTAAAAAAAAATCAAGAAATGAGATGTGTTAGATTCTTGACAACATAGTAGTCTATGAAGTTGCTATGCTCTCCTGATAGCCAAAGGAAACATGGTAATTCTGTAATTATTTTACGCACAGAATTTTGAAAGCCCAAATCGAGAGACGCATATTGTAGAAAGGAGGCTTAAAAACGGATATTCAGTGGAAATATAGGGCCTCAATTAAAGGCCTGGTTTATAAAGACAAAATTGCCTTGGCCAATATTTCTGATCCCTTATTCTACAAGATTAGTGTTTTTGGTGGTTGTTCTTATTCTTTCAAACTGTTAAAGAGCCACCAGGCTATCCAGGTGATAGCCTGCCTTCCCCTTTTCATTCTCCTTTATCCTATGTGATGTGGCATTGGTGTGGGATTACATGGAGTCAAAAAGTAGGTGTCTTATCATAAAAGATGCTAAGAAATGACAGAAAGAATAATATAGTGGGAAAACTATTAACCAAGATCTCACTTGTTAACTGTTTTCTTGCATGTTTTCTAATGAAGGTTCTTGACTTCAGTCATGTGATACTGGTTTTTGTGGCAATGGGATGGCTTTATGCAGGCTGTGGGGGGAAGTGTGGGGCGGACTCTGATTGATATACATGTACTGCTTGGAATGAGGCTTGAAATGCTGCATTTTCTTGTTCCCACAAAACAAGTTGGCTGGTTAATAAATGTTCATAAGATTCTATAAGCCAGACTCATCTCAGTCCCCTTCTTGTTCTCTTGGATCTTAGACAAGCCAAGAGTAAAACAGGGAGTTCTTGGCCTGGAGGAACTGATGTCCATGATGACAGTCCTCAGAATAAAAAAAACATTTTGCAAATCTGTTGTCGGAAAGCTTTCCTTCCTTGTTTTCTTCTTCTGGAAGGAAATAAGGTAAAAACTCTAAAGTCCTTACATTGTCTGGGAAGAGAATAGAACAGAAGCACAATTACAATTACATTCTATTTTGATAAGTCAGGGGTGCATGTTGTATAGTCTAAGGTAACCACTAGAAGAAGAGTGAAAGGGTTTATAACTGTGAAAAAAACCAAAGAGAAAAAGGGAATAACAAAAAATAAACTATCCAAAAAGAAGAAAGATGAGAGAAAAGTACATAGAGCAGGCATGAGAAATACCAAGATGGTATATTAAACACCAAATATCTAGGTAACTACTTAACATGCAAATTGGCTAACTGTGCCAGTTAAAAGACAAAGATTTTTAGGCTAGATTGCAAAAAATACTATCTGGTGTTTATAGGAAATATGTCTATAACATAAAAATAGAGTTTAAAAGAATGGAGAAGATATATGGTACAAATACCATAGAAATAGATATAAGCTACAGATATTTTTGGTGGAACATGTTAAGTGGTTCTAGTTTATACAATAATGTAAATGACCAAGGATATCCAAGACAGTCTTGGAAGAAGAACCAGGTGACAGGACATACCTAATTAAATTGAGACTTCCCCTATCTAATATCAATGTCCTCTTTTACTCTGAAAATTGAGTCAGTTTGGATAGTAAGTCATATGGTCATCATAGCTATAACAAACGTGGCACATCAAAGTTGAGAGTGAAGGAAGAAATTTTTCAATCAATTGTTCTGGGATATTTGGGAATGCGTATGGAAAGTAATTCAAGTTGATTCCTGTCTTGAACCTAAACAAATATTCATACCAGCTGTACTTAAACTCTGAGAACAAAACAAAAAAACTTTTAGAAGGTCATATACAAATGTATGCTCATGAACTTGTGATTTCTTTTTTTTTTTTTTAAAGGTTTTATTTATTTATTTGACAGACAGAGATCACAAGCAGGCAGAGAGGCAGGCAGAGAGAGAGAGAGGAGGAAGCAAGCTCCCCGCTGAGCAGAGAGCCCAATGTGGGGCTTGATCCCAGGACCCTGAGATCATGACCTGAGCCAAAGACAGAGGCTTTAACCCACTGAGCCACCCAGGTGCGCTGAACTTGTGATTTCTTAACAACACACACACACACATACACACACAATTTTTTGTTAAATTTATTTCTAGGCATTTGGACATTTTTTATGATAAACTGGGCCAAGCAAAAATTAAGAACTTCAGTCCTGTATCACACACTATTGAGAGTGAAAAGACAAACCTCAGATTAGTTGATGGAGGCTAGTGCCCCAAGGAGGGAACATCTTCGTAGTGGTCTGAGAGAATGTTCCCAAAGGCAGGTTTCCAAGTCTGGAGCCTTTCCCTCTTTATCTCCCAGGCTAGAACTCAAAAATTATGATTAGGGTAGCCAGACTTTGTGAAGGTACAGCTTTGGAGAACAGGCTTCCAAATATCTTCAGAGTTTTTGTGGGTCAGAAACGCTGTCTTGATTACCCGAAGAAACTGGTAGCCCATCTCCAGGAGGGAAAGAAGGGGAATCTGGTAGGGTACTACCAAATCAAGAGGGCTTTTAACATCATCCAAAGTCAAATTGCTTAGGTGATTTCTACATTGGTGTTTTTCCTTAAACAGATTACTGCCATGTTCTTGCTATTCTTGATTCTTCCTCACTCAGAAATAAATTATAAGATCATAACCTAGAACTGTCATGTGCCCATAACTTCTCCCAGTTTAGGTCAGGGAGAGACTCACTCAAACTTCATGAAGAATGACACGGGGCAGCCTCATGTTTCATATGTGACATTTGTATTAACGCCAACCCCATGAGGTGGGTGTTACTGACTTTGTTCTACAGACGAGAAGCAGAACGGGGATTGCAGCTCAGAGCTCCGCAGTGCTGAGATCACCGTGATTCATCATGAGCTGAAAGGTCCCCAGAGTGTCACCATCGAGTCTCACCCAGAGGGATAAGAAATGCATTCTAAGTGAGTCTTAGAGAGTCTGTCCTTCAATATTAATGTTACAATTCCACTCTCAGCTGCCAGTCTCAGCCACTGAAAAGGAAACCTTCGATAATTCTACAATCTCAAATAAACTTGCTCTTGGAAAGGAAGACTTTAACCTGGGATTGCTTAGAGACAGGAGGTAAAGGGCATTTCAGTAGAACCCGCTGGGGTACCATTTTTCCATGGCACGAATTCTGCACCCTGCTCACCTCCAATGCCACTGCCAAAAGCTGAGATCACTACAAAAAACGATCTTGTTGGGGACAAGAAATACTTTGGAAGAAGAATTGGGCATTTAAAAAAAAAAAACAGCTGGGGGCACTGAAGAAGGATGTGTTATACTTTAACCTTGGAGAGGTGGTTGGCTCATAAATGTGTACAGCTATAAAGCATTTCTTCATCCAAACGCTCAGTGTTCTAATTATATAGACTGAACTTGACATCAGGCACTTGCCAATCTGAGAAAGATCACACGGTCAGTAGCTGAGGTGACAGGGACGCAGTCTACGGGGTGTGAAGGGAGTGATGTGGGGTGAATGGATCCGTTCAAAATTAGACTGCCAAAGAATAATTTGTAGAGCAAAACCACATGTGTGCATGGAACGAAGGTGATTTTTTTTTTTAAGATTTTATTTCTTTATTTGACAGAGATCACAAGTAGGCAGAGAGGCAGGCAGGTGGGGTGGGGGGGGAAGCAGACTCTCTGCGGAGCAGAGAGCCCGACGTGGTGCTTGATCCCAGAGTCCTGGGATGACCTCGTATGACCCGAGCATACGACCTCAGTGGAAGGCAGAGGCTTTAACCCACTGAGCCACGCAGGCGCCCCCGAAGGTGATTTTCTAGTACGCAGGTGGGAAAATTGAAAAAAAAAAAAAAAAAAAGGCAATGCATAACAAGAACAAGAGGATATTACTGAAAGAGGTTTTCAAAGAGTTCTTGCACAAGCCCTTCCTTCAGTTTGTAACTATGTTACACCAAATCCTCATAATAAGATATTTTGTTTCAGCAGATAAATGAGTTTATGAATGACTTAAATATTTGATTACTGTACAGTATTTTAAAAGGTCAGTTTTCAAAGATAGAATATGCACTGTAAATTTTAGTTTTCTATGCAAAATTTGGTACGTTGCCTGAGATATTTAGGAAACTGGGTAAGATTTTCCTATTTTCAGGTAAACCCAGGTGTTTTCAATCAAGGCAAAATAAAAGATATTAAAATTTTCAATTGCTTTCACATGACATAACTATATTACTATAAGGACTTATGTGCTTTTATTTTATTTATTTGTTCATTTGTTTGTTTGCTTTAGAGAGAGTGCAAGTGGAAGGGGTGGGGCAGAGGGACAGGGAGAGAGAGAATCCTAAGCAGGTTCCACACTGAGCATGGACAGGGAGCTCAATTTCATGACCCTTATCTCATGACCCGAGCTGAAATCAACAGTTGGATGCTTAACTGACTGAGCCACCCAGGCACACCAGGAGTTTTATGCTTTTAAAACTCATTAATTTGTTATTATCACTCATGTCCTACATTACTTGCTGAACTACTTTAAAAAAATTAATATTTTTTAATCATTGTGAGTTTTAAGCAAAAATATAGTAACTCCAGAAAAAAAAAATTGTTAGCCTACAACAGGTAAAGTCCTTCATAGTCAAGGCTCACCATCTTCCATTGAACCACAACAATGGCATGACATATCTCTTAAGAGTGTTCAAATCAAAAAAAAAAAAAAGTGTTCAAATCAATTTCATCCACTCATTTTTCTAATTAACTTTCATTCTATGTATATTATGTGCTAAGCTCTGGAATAGGCTCTAAGGATGCAACGATGGACAATGAGCCCAGTGAGGCCCTTGCCCTGAGGTAGCTTATGTCTAGTTCATGAACTAGTTCTCCAATAACTCATTTGGTTAATGATCCATTGGATAGCAATGGTACCAGTATGGTTGCTGGCACCTTAATCTTGTGCTTTTGCTCATATCTTTTCCTTTATTGCAACCAAGGAAAGACTGCCAACATTCTGGGAGGCTTTTTCTTCTGCATTATTTGGTAAACTGATAATTAGCTGGTGTGTACTTACCTTGTTATCAGTGTATGTATGCTGGTATCTATCTACTCCCCCTCCTGGAT